AACCATGAGTGAACTGCTAGATATAGAAAGGGCTCAACCTGGCCAGGCCTGGTGGCTCACGCCTATAATCCCAGCACTTTGGGAGGCCCACAAGGTCAGGAGATCAAGACAACACTGGCCAACATGGTGAAACCCCGTCTGTACTAAAACTACAAAAAATTGGCTGGGCATGGTGGCATGCGCCTGTAGTCCCAGCTACTTGGGAGGCTGAGGCAGGAGAATTGCTTGAACCCAGGAGGCGGAGGTTGCAATGAGCCAAGATCGCACCACTGCACTCCAGCCTGGAGACAGAGCAAGACTTTGTCTCAAAAAAAAAAAAAACAAAAGCGGGGGGGCCTCAACCCAGTGGTGAGGGCTAAAATGTTAGCCATTTAAGCAATTCATAACAGAAGACTCATCTTTATTGCTACCCACCCCCAAAATAGCCTAATTTTTAGAGGCCCCCCTCTTCTTGGAGACATCTCAAAAAATACAAAGTTGCTGATATGAGTACAACTACTGAGATCTCCACAAAATACAAGAATACTTAAAATATTTAAATTTTTAAATTTTTTTGGAGTCAGAGGCTTGCTCTGTTGCCCAGGCTGGAGTGCAGTGGCATGATTTTGGCTCACTGAAACCTCTTCCTCCCAGGTTCAAGCAATTCTCGTGCCTCAGCCTCCCGAGTAGCTGGGATTACAGGTGTGCCACCACACCAGGCTAATTTTTGTATTTTTAGTAGAGACAGGGTTTCGTCATGTTGGCCAGGCTGGTCTCAAACTCCTGGCCTCAAGCGATCCGTCCTCCTTGGCCTCCCAAAGTGCTGGGATTACAGGTGTGAGCCACTGCACCCAGCCAAAAGATAGTTTCTTAATAGGGTGTCTTCCCTCGGCGTTTTCCGTTCTAATTCTTTCTTTCTTTCTTTCTTTTTTTTTGATACAGCATCTGGCTTTGTTGCCCAGGCTGGAGTGCAGTGGTGCGATCTTGGCTTGCTGCAACCTCTGCCTCCTGGGCTCAAGCCATCTTCCCACCTCAGACTCCCAAGTAGCTGGGACTACAGAAGCATGCCACCATGCCTGGCTAATTTTTGTATTTTAAGTAGAGATGGGTTTCTCCATGTTGCCCAGGCTGGTCTTGAACTCCTGAGCTTGAGTGATCCACCTGCCTTGGCCTCCTAAAATGCTGGGATCACAGGCATAAGCCACCGCTACCAGCCTTCTCCACTCTGATTCTAATGGCCAGTATTAGCTATTAAGAAAGCAAAAAAATTTTTGTAGTGTGGAGAAAAGGAATTCATCCAGTCTCATAAACTGGGACACATATCCATTTGCTTTTGCTCAAGTGCTAAGCTAACCAAACAACCTCTCAAATTGTATTTAGGAATACTGAGTTGGTCCATTTCAGCAGGTGGAAATACATACTCACTAAATAACCTGTTGCTATTTATCTTGCCCAGGTCTTCTTTTGTTGTGAATTAATAGTTGTTCTGGTCTAAAAAGCAGCTGTGGGAAAGTTATTATGAGTCAATTATCTAAACCAGTGCCATCATGAAACTTCCTGTGACAATACGTTGTTCAACAGGGTAGCTGGCCACATATGGCCATAAGCATTTGAAATGTGGCTAGGGAAACTGAAGAAGTGATTTATAGTTAATTTTAATTAATTTAAGTAGCCACAAATGGCTGCTGGCTACCAATTAGGCAGCACAACTCTAGATTCCTGCTACTTAAAGTGTGGTCTCAAAAAAGCATTGGCATCATCTTGTTAGCTTGTTGGAAAAGCAGAATCTCAGGTCACACCCCAGTCCTGGTGATTTAGAATCTCCATGATTATAAGATACTCTGCTGATTTGTCTGCACATTAACATTTTTAAAAGATATGGTTATTTATTTATTTATTTATTTTCTGACAGAGTCTCACTCTGTCGCCCAGGCTGGAGTACAGTGGCATGATCTTGGCTCACTGCAACCTCCACCTCCCAGGTTCAAGTGATTCTCATGCCGCAGCTACCCGAGTAGCCGGGACTACAGGCGTGTACCACCACGCCGGACTAATTTTTGTATTTTTAGTAGAGATGGAGTTTTGCCATGTTGGCCAGGATGGTCTTGAACTCCTGCTTCATGTGATCTGCCTGCCTCAGCCTCCCAAAGTGCTGGGATTACAGGGGTGAGCTACCGCACCCGGCCAAAATGATTACTTTTAAAAGGATATGGATTAGCTGAAAAAAGTGATGAGCAACAGATCTGTAGTGACCCTTCCAAATTGCAGACACCCACTCTTGAAACTGGTATCCATCATAAGGGGCCTGCTTCTTTTTTTGTATCTGTCTCTCTCCCATACCTTGAACATAGCAGAAAGAGGAAAGGGAGGCTGGGGATGATGGCTTACACATGTAATTCCAGCACTTTGGGAGGCCGAGGAGGGCAGATCACCTGAGGTCAGGAGTTCCAGACCAACCTGGCCAACATGGTGAAACCCCGTCTCTTATAAAAATTAGCTAGGCATGGTAGCGGGCACGTGTAATCCCAGCTACTTGGGAGGCTGAGGCAGGAGAATTGCTTGAACCCAGGAGATGGAGGTTGCAGTGAGCCAAGATTGTACCACGGAACTCCAGCCTGGGTGACAACAGAGAAACTCTGTCAAAAAAAAAAAAAAAAAAAGAGGAAAGGGAGAGGAGAGAGCCTGGAACAACACTGGGGTGAAAAGTATGCAATATGGAGATGAGGGGTGGGGTGGGAGGAGCATGTGTTTCTCAGGAATATTTGTACAAAACAAAATGATGACATTTCTTTAATGATTATTGAAATGGGTGATGGGTATATCGGAGTTCATTGTACTATTTTCTCTACTTTTGTGTATGTTTGAAAATTTTCAAAATTAAAAAACAGATGTAACTTCAGAGATGATGTGTGTGATAGCCAGCCTCCAAGATAGTCCCAATGATCCTCTCTTCTTGGTATTTGTGTCCTTGTGTAGTTCTTCCATATTGAATCAGGGATTGCATATGTGACCAAAGTGGAGGTGATACCCATCACTTCAAAGAGCCAGATCACTGTGATGTCTGTCTTGCTATCCCTTGGATCTCTTGCTCTGAGGTAAGTCATCTACTGTGTTGTGAGGATACTCAAGTCATCTTGTGGAAAGACCTTTATGGAGAGGAATAGAGGTTTCCTGCCAACAGCCAGCCGCACGAAATTAAGTGAGCCTCTATGGCCCCAGTGAAGCCTTCTAATGATAGTAGCTCCATCTAACGTACAACTGCATGAGAAACTGCCAAGCCAGAACTGTCCACCAAACTGCTCTTGAATCTCTGACCAACAGACACTGTGAAAGGCAATAAATGTATATTGTTGTAGGAAGTCACTAAGTTTTGGGGTAATGTGATTGTACAGCGATAGATAACTGATGCAATGTGATTTCAAGATTCTTCACTCCTTGTCCTCCAAAAAGATTACCCTCCTCATCTTTTCAATGATACCTGAAATGAACAGGAACAGAAAGACCTTTCTCTTTTCTTTCTTTCTTTTTTTTTTTTTTTGAGACAGGGTCTTGCTCTGTCACCCAGGCTGGAATGCAGTGACACAAATATGGCTTACTGCAGCCTTGACCTCCAGGGCTCAAGTGGTCTTCCTGCCTCAGCCACTCAAGTAGTGGGCACCACAGGTGCGTGCCACCATGCCTTATTATTTTTTTTTTTTAAGAGACAGAGCCTCACCATATTGCCCAGGCTGCTCTTAACTCCTGGGCTCAAGCAGTCCTCCTGCCTCAGCCTCCCAAAGTGCTGGGATTACAGGTGTGAGCCACTGCACCTGGCAGAAAGACCTTTTCACACTATGCGAAAGGTTAACATGCTAATACTCCTTGAAGAGATTATATATTCACTAAAATTCGTGGTAAAACATGTGACAGATATAAATTCTTTCTTTTTAAAACTCTTAGCAAGCTAATCTATTGAGACATTAATTTCAGTCTTGATCTTGCTGTTGTAAGAGACTGGAAAGAATAAAAAGGTAATTTCTCGCTTACGGTCCACCATCTCAAGAACAGCTAACATCTTGAATGATAAGGTCTAGGCTCTTCCTGCATCTCTCTTTCCTCACCCCCAAACCCAAACAACATACACTAGTAACAGCTTCTTGTTGTTTCAGGGGCCACCCTAAAGAAGACACCCCTCCACCTCTACCACTGGCCTTCATCTTGAGCATTAGGTAACAGAGAAACTATGTTGGAATTGCTCCATAAGGGGAGTGGGGAGCTGGCACTGGCTTAGGAAGAAGGCAAGTGGCCAGACCTAAGGGCTGAATGACTTCCTCCAGGCTGCGAAGGGTTTCGGAGTTTCCAGGAATGGAAATTGTCCCTGGCTTGTATGCAGTCTGTGTGTGTGTGTGTGTGTGTGTGTGTGTGTAGCAGGTGGAGTGGTGAGACGTGCATGAGGTGTCTATAAAGGGGTGTTCTGGGGCCTGGGCCCACCAAACATCCCCTTTCCCCCCACTCCTGCGCAGCTTGCTTGCAGGCTAAGGAGCTGTGCCCTTCAGTGGTTCCTCAAGGGTCATGAACTAGCAGCATCAAGACGGGGTGGGTAGGGGGGAACACTTCCCCCAATTTTTGAGACCCTACCACTACGGAGAGAAGGGGGGAACCTCGGAATGTGACTAATGAATTTCCCGCCAACATTGGCAGGCGGGAGCTGAGCCAGATTTCTTTAATTTGCGAAATTAAAAGACATGTGACGCCTCTTGCCCGAGTAGGTGCAGCGATTCATTTCAGACTTTTCCTGAGAGCGGGTCTGTGTAGCGAGAAGGGTGCTGGGGAATGGGGGATGGGAGAATGGGGATGGAGGAAGTTATAGCTGATCCTAAGGGGCCACTGCCGCACTTCCTGCCAATTTTCGTCTTTAGTTCAGCGTCCCGAGCTCTCTTTTTGAGGGAAGGACCCCGCGCGCGTCCGCCCGGCCGGCTCCGACACAAACACACGCACGTGCGCCCCGCCCCCGCCGCGCGCACGCGCCCCAAGGCTCTGGCGGCGGCGACGGGCGCGCGCGCGGTGCTCGCTGCCCCCACGCCGCTCCCTCCGCTCGGATCGCTGCGCCTCCAGCTCCCCGCACCGATCCGCGCTAGGCCTGCGGACTTGGAGACAGCGGCCGCGGTCAGTGGGCTCCGGCGGGCTCAGTGGACGAGGCGGTGGCGGGGTGAGCGGAGCGGAGCGGGGCCCCGCAAGTCCCCGGGAGGCGACGGTGCCGGGCGCGGGCCCCTGCGTAAGGCGGGCGCAGTGACAGGCCGGCCGGTGAGGCGCCGCCGGGGGAGGCCGCGACGGAGCTCCCGGACCGGCCATGGGCTGAGACACGTCCTCGCCGAGCAGGTGCAGTGACCGGTGATCCCGGGGGGAGCCCGCCCCTACAGGCCCGGGGACCCTCAACCCCGACCGGACGCGTCCTACCCAGCCCGGTGCCCTGTTGACCTTCCCTCAGCTCCTCCCAAAAGGCACGCCGACCCCACCTCCAAACCCTGCCCGTGCCATCCCTGTGACTCCCAGCAGTCCCTTCCATCCTGTACATACCTGCAGCCTGCACCCCTGTCACCCCAGCCCAGTAGGCCCTCGGGCCACCTCCTCTTTGGCCGATATTTACATCCCACTGCCTGCACAGTGCCTGGAAACTACCCAGCATCTCTTTCCTAGCCCAAAGGGGGTGGAGGTAAGGGTGGGAGGGGAAGTGGGAGAGGGTGTCCTTTCCTCTGGAGTCCTTGGTGACCACAAACCCATCCTCTTTCTCTCAAGTGACCCTTCTGTACCCCACCAGAACATGCCCGGGTGACCTCCTCCCAGATCTTCCTTGTGGCCTTCCTCGCCCACTCCAGTGACACTATGCACCCGCACCGTGACCCGAGAGGCCTCTGGCTCCTGCTGCCATCCTTGTCCCTGCTGCTTTTTGAGGTGGCCAGAGCTGGCCGAGCCGTGGTTAGCTGTCCTGCCGCCTGCTTGTGCGCCAGCAACATCCTCAGCTGCTCCAAGCAGCAGCTGCCCAATGTGCCCCATTCCTTGCCCAGTTACACAGCACTACTGGACCTCAGCCACAACAACCTGAGCCGCCTGCGGGCCGAGTGGACCCCCACGCGCCTGACTCAACTGCACTCCCTGCTGCTGAGCCACAACCACCTGAACTTCATCTCCTCTGAGGCCTTTTCCCCCGTACCCAACCTGCGCTACCTGGACCTCTCCTCCAACCAGCTGCGTACACTGGATGAGTTCCTGTTCAGTGACCTGCAAGTACTGGAGGTGCTGCTGCTCTACAATAACCACATCATGGCGGTGGACCGGTGCGCCTTCGACGACATGGCCCAGCTGCAGAAACTCTACTTGAGCCAGAACCAGATCTCTCGCTTCCCTCTGGAACTGGTCAAGGAAGGAGCCAAGCTACCCAAACTGACGCTCCTGGATCTCTCTTCTAACAAGCTGAAGAACTTGCCACTGCCTGACCTGCAGAAGCTGCCGGCCTGGATCAAGAATGGGCTGTACCTACATAACAACCCCCTGAACTGCGACTGTGAGCTCTACCAGCTTTTTTCACACTGGCAGTATCGGCAGCTGAGCTCCGTGATGGACTTTCAAGAGGATCTGTACTGCATGAACTCCAAGAAGCTGCACAATGTCTTCAACCTGAGTTTCCTCAACTGTGGCGAGTACAAGGAGCGTGCCTGGGAGGCCCACCTGGGTGACACCTTGATCATCAAGTGTGACACCAAGCAGCAAGGGATGACCAAGGTGTGGGTGACACCAAGTAATGAACGGGTGCTAGATGAGGTGACCAATGGCACGGTGAGTGTGTCTAAGGATGGCAGTCTTCTTTTCCAGCAGGTGCAGGTCGAGGACGGTGGTGTGTATACCTGCTATGCTATGGGAGAGACTTTCAATGAGACACTGTCTGTGGAATTGAAAGTGCACAATTTCACCTTGCACGGACACCATGACACCCTCAACACAGCCTATACCACCCTAGTGGGCTGTATCCTTAGTGTGGTCCTGGTCCTCATATACCTATACCTCACCCCTTGCCGCTGCTGGTGCCGGGGTGTAGAGAAGCCTTCCAGCCATCAAGGAGACAGCCTCAGCTCTTCCATGCTTAGTACCACACCCAACCATGATCCTATGGCTGGTGGGGACAAAGATGATGGTTTTGACCGGCGGGTGGCTTTCCTGGAACCTGCTGGACCTGGGCAGGGTCAAAACGGCAAGCTCAAGCCAGGCAACACGCTGCCAGTGCCTGAGGCCACAGGCAAGGGCCAACGGAGGATGTCGGATCCGGAATCAGTCAGCTCGGTCTTCTCTGATACGCCCATTGTGGTGTGAGCAGGATGGGTTGGTGGGGAGATTCTGCCCCAGGAGAGGTAATGCACCCCTGAAGGATATGAGGGGATGGAAGAGAGGGCTGGCTGCCCAAGGGAATGGGTTCCTCCTGACCTCAAGGGAATTGGTCCCAGGTACAACAGAGAGCAAGACCCCAAACAGGGTGTGGCTGCCACGATTTTCAAATGGGGGTATATTAATCCTCAGGCAAATGCTACACCCGTACCCAAAGCCCTGCCAATTCTCAGTGTGGTAGAGGAAGAGAAACATGTCTGAGTTGGATGGGATTGAGGAAGGAGTGAGGGGAAGAGCAGATTCCCTAAACTTTCATGAGGTCATCCCTAGCTCCTTAAGAGAAAAACATTCAGAAAAAAAAATTTTTTTCTATCTCTGCCCACCCACACCTGTGATGTTGTGTGTGTTGGGGGAGCTTCCACAGGAGCCACACTGGGGAAAAGCTGTAGTATCTTCTTTGTTTAGGAAGTCAAACTTCACAGCTGGGGAAATTGAAAACCTTTGGAAAACGAGTCAGGAAAAGGCTGAGACCTCAATCGGTAACACTTCCCCAAAGCTGTTGTAAGACTTTCCATTAAAGCCTTCCTCTTTCCTGATGAGCCCTGGGTGGATGGATCTTCGCAGGAGCCTGGCCTGCTGCCTGTTAGTTATGACAGCAGTGTGGGATGTGCTATCTGTGCCTCGTCCTGGGACCAGTAGCACAGAGGGGTACAGCATGAACTGAAGGGTCCATGTCACAGCATCGGTGCCGGCACGAAACTTGTAGATGGGGGGTGAACTCCAGATAGGCTAATTCCCTGGTTGGTGAAACCCTTTGTTAGTATTTGATTCCCAGCATCTGTGTGTCAGGCCAGAGTGGGGGCTGCTGAAGGTAGAGCTTTTATGGATGCCTGCCACAGACATGGTACATGGGTCCACTTCACGCTAGAAGGATGAAGGTAAATCAGCCTCTATTATGTAGCATCCAGCTGGACCTGATTCTCAATGTATACCATCTCTTCATCCAGTCTCCTTATCAAGCTCAGGTGGGATTCTGAATTTTCCCTAATATGCTGCTCTGTAAGGGGAGGAGTCCAGGAAAGCCTGGCCCCAGCTGGCTAAGAGTAGGCTTGGCGATAGAGAAAATCCAGTATATATCTCCTCTATGTGGACAAGGTTGTCTTGCTCCTCTCAGAGATATCACCTCTGCTGCAAAGTCAAAGCATGGGGTTTTGACATCGGAAGGGCTGGAATTGGGTAGTCTCTACCCCAGAATGGCAATTTGGAGTGCAGCTTAGAGTTCTGCCCTCTCCACAGATTCCAGGCAATCCTGAAGCAGAGATAATCAGGAGTACTAAACTTTCAGAAGGGGAGTTCTGCCACCCCATTCCTCCATCGAGAGGTCTTTGCAGTTGTGGTTGTCAGGCCAGAGGAACTTAAGAAGAATGAGCTCAACATTCCATTCCATCCAAGGTTGCAGAATACTTTGAGTATGGAGATGACTGATCCCTTTAACTTTTCCCTTTGACTATACTGCATACCCTGGGAGTGGCTGCTCTGAGCTTTGGCGGGGGATGAGCAGGGCGAAGGTGAAAATGTTCTCTGATGTTGGTTTTTCTTAGTGTCTCTTCTCTCCCACGTTTCCGGTCCATTGGAAGTTCTCCAGATCCTCTAGATTTCTGACCTCTTTTTACGTTCTAAGAGGTGTCATTTACCTGTGGGTAAGGGGCTTGGAGGGCCTATTAAGCTTCCCATTAAGATTGGGGAAGGGGACTCAACATCTTCCCCTTGTCTGGGTCCTGGGAACTCAAGACTGCTGTCCATCCTTTATTAGTAACCTAGTTTTGCTGAGAGAGAGGTGCAGCATTTCCCTCAAGTACCTGCATGCTCATAGGTATGCATGCTTATAGGTATGCATGCACACCAGCACCTTGACTTCCACCAGGACAGTGAATCTGTAGTCCCCATTAACGCCACTCTCAGAATGGTCTCCACCAATGTGCACAACTTCATGCACACAATTGTATTCCCCTTTAGAAGAGACAGTGACCATGCCAGGCTCTTCAAATAGACACTCCTGTATTTTAATTTCTGAACTCCCTGAAGCTTCACCCACATTTCCATGGCACTGAATCACTTTTCTGCCCAGGCTGGAGTTAGAAGAACCATGGGTTGAAGACCTTGGAAGAAGAGGTGGTGAGGAGCTACCTGGTTCTTCTCAGGAAGAACTCCTGAGTCTCAGGAGACTCCTCAGAAACCTCCCTTAAAGACTATATATATGAGCAATATATGAGCAATTAAGATAGAACTAGGTCATTGAAGGACTCAGAAGGAAACTGGCAAGGGGCTAAGCAGCTGTGAGCTGCTCTTCCTGTTAACTGTCCTCAGGAGAGAAAAGTTGTCTTGATTTATTCCAGAGACTCCTGAGAATTTTGTTACTGGAGCTATAGGAACCAGGACTCCCTCCTCAGACTCATCAGGAAATCTGTGAAAATCTCATCTCCATGCTGCAGTCTCCCCACTTGGCACCATCTAGGGCTCTGAAGATCTTTAAAGTGAGCATTAAATGAAGCAGGCCTTCTGAGGCATCGTGATGGAGCTCCTGAGGACTAGGAGGGCCGTTTTCTTCATAATTCCTACCCAGTTTAGGAAATGAGAAAAGGCCCTGTGGCTCTTGTCTCCTGACTATATTCACTAGTTGGGCCTTGAGTTTGAGACACCTGGTAGATGTACCTGGCTGCCCTACCAAGAGATTTGATTAGCTTCTTCCCGTGGTTTCAGGTGATAGAACCCAAAGGTAGCTTTTTAATTGGAGAATTGAGTAATCACCATATGTAAGCTCACTAGAACCCTGTGTTGAAAACTGCCAGGTGTGGGTATAAGAAAAGGCCGAGAGATCACCTCCTCTCACCCTACCCCGCACCCATAAACCAGACATGTCTCCCAGGAAGCAGGTGTCCCTGGAGACAGAGTATGACAGGGCTCTACAATCTGTCTGTGTAATTATTTGTGATTTTTTTTTTTTTTTTGTATTTATGGGGCCCAAGGAAGGGGCCAGGAGAAGGTACACCCTAGCTGGGGAGAGCAAAGCAGACGGATCCAGTTTTCTGTGTGTTCTTACCTCTGTACTTCCTCGTAGCTCTGCTGACAAAGCAAGCAGGCCTCCCGTGTCCAAGACCCCATTCCTCCCACTTGTGTACACCTAGGCTGGCAAATCTTGGAGCCTCTGGGCTCTGAAAACTAGACAATGATCATTAAACCTGGCTTGAGTCTCTGTTCTGGCACAATCTGACTGGTTTATTTTTTCAGCCTGTGGGTGGGGTTCACTGTACCTCAGAAGGGTGTGGTCTATCTAGGAAGAAAATCTTTTAAGTGCTATTGTACGGACATGGGTGAAATACACATCTAGGCATTAAGATGGACCAGGGGTCAGGAAACATTTTCTCTAATGAGCCAGACAGTAAATATTTGAGGCTCTGCAGACCACACAGTCCCTGTTACAACTCAACTATGCTGCTATAGCCTGAGTGTAGTCACAGACAGGACAAAAATGAATGACTGTGGCTCTGGTCCAAAAAAGATTTGACTTATGGACATTGAAACTTGAATTTCATATAATTTTAACATGCCTTTTGAGTTTTTCCAACCATTAAAAAATATATAAACTATTATTAGCTCACAGGCCACATAAAACCAGGCAATGGGCTGGTTTGACCAACAGACCATAGTTTGCTGACCCCTAAGATAAGATTCTCAAATGTCACTGAAGCTTTAGAGTTTAGAAATCCCATGACTTGATGCTCGCTGAGGCTTGTAGGTAATGAAGCTTTCCTGGATCCCTAGGGCAGAGGGTTTCCACCCTTGCAGAGTTCTCTTAAAAGTCTGGATCAAGCCTACTGACCGTACCATGGAAAAAATGCTTGGATTGGGTTTTTAAAAATGGTGGGGAGCAGCTCACTTTCACAGAATTTTTTATTATCAGTATTTTCATGTTGTAAATGGTAGCCATCTTAGGCTAAAAGTATATTCACCTAATGGGCAGGTTAATCTTCCTTGACAGGTTTAGCGTGTCCTAGGCATTGCGTGGAACAGAAAAATGCAGTCCCTACGTTTTGGTGCAGATTCAGCCTACCAGAAGTTGGACTGGATTCTCAACTCTTAACCATGCTGATTCTTTGGCTACTCTCTTGGTGATTCTAGAAGAGGGTTGTCATGGCAGATTCCAGGGGGAGAGGAAATGATACAAGGAAAAAAATGGAAAGAATCCGAATTTGAATACTTACCTAAAGTCTTGACCGAAGGGCAGCTCTCCTCTATTTGGAAAGTTGTTTTTCACTTCAGGAGGAACAATCAAGGTGATGAGGGGTGGAGCTACTGCACAACCAGCCACATCAGACAAGTCAACTTTGGCAGTCAATGAAATGACAGCTGTTGATGTCAGAGCACTCCCATACTCTGCATTTATATAGTTTTTCATCTGCAAAGCAGTTTTTCTGTGGCTGACAGTCTGGCCAACAGAATGAAGCCGATAAGGAGAGCAAGTCTGATGAGAACTACTTGGGAGTTCTCTCTTCTGTTTTGGCCTGTGCCAAGCCCAAGGAAGTCCATGGCTGCATCTCTTCAACACCCCCCACCCACCCACCACCCACATCCTCACCACCTCCCTATCACCTCCCCCAAGCCACAAGAAGTTCCTTAGATTCTGGCCAAGATATGCAATTTTGTCTGCCATGCCTTGCAGCACTTACCCTGGCTACTCTTAGGTAGCACTTGCGGGGAGGGAGGAGGCTAATATGACAGTTTTCTTTGAGAATAGATACGAGTTCAGTGCATTGGTTAGCCTGGCCTCTCTTCCCCACAATCTCTCAACTCCTTCCCTTTCTGCACTTGCACTTCTTGCACCACTTATCTTGTGTCTCCCAGGAAACCAGTGGGGAAGCTTCACTTTCCCCACCCACATAGCAGAAAAGGCTCAGGCCCCTGCAGTGGGATGGTTGGCTTTTCTGGTCTAGCCACAGTAAGCCTGTGCTGGATGCTTCCTCTCCTGGGGCTTGAGAAAGGAAGGCTAAAGCAGCTGCCAGTCAAACCCCTTCATCAGGCTTCTACACTCTCAGGTGGAAAATGCAAAATAGTGAAGACACCTAGACCTGCCCTGAGGCCTCCAATCTAGTCCGGTTGTTTACTCTCCCTGGTTGGAACCATGGCCTGAGAGAACCAACCTGCAGTGAGCCAGGATGTGGAGCCCTGTGGTGGGACTTCTGGATGCCCTTCGGCACTGGCATACATTAGGTGAGACTGGCATACATTAGGCAGGAGTCACTGACGCCAAGGCCAGTGTGTGTGTCCATGTGTACACAAATACAGGCTGGCGAGTACTGCAGTTGGATTGTACTTTGTGCTGCATTTCCCTCACCTCCCACTGCTCCCTCACTTGGTCGTAGTTTGCTTTTGTGGGGCCTGAGCAGAACTGAGCATCCTTAGAAAGCACCACGAGATAACTGGGTATCTGCTTTAAAGATAGGGATGCTAGGGGTCCACTCATGTATATTCAGTGAGACAGAGTTGACTCCTCAGATACCATTGAATAGCCTGAAGTCGTTCCTTAATCTGCTTCCAACAGAGGTCAAAAACTCGTCTGGGAAATCCTAACAATAGCAGGTGGATTATAAACTGAGATTGTTATTCTGTGATGCATCTGGTGACTAGTCAAGTCTCCTGAGAGGGTGGGTAGGGGGAAGGTCCCCTCACTGGAGGTAATTTCTGCCTATATGAAGGGGTTAAGCCCAGCACCATGCTGGAGATGGGCTACTTCAAACCACCCTCCAGGGCAGTTCTTTTCAGCTTGTCTTCTCTGTGCAGTGCTGGTGAGAACTGCTGAGGCTCTGCACACAATGCCTGGCTAGTGTTTCATTCCTGGATCCCAGGACAGAGAAAACAATTAAGATAAAAAATGAATATTCAAGCCTCTGCACTGCTGTTGTTCCTGCTTCTTTGCATCCACTCCAGGCAGACTGCTGGCTGCTCTCAGACAAATGGAATGGAAAGTATCCTTCCCCAATTTAAAATTTAAACAGAACTGCTTTCAGTGTGTGTGTGTGCGGGTGTGTGAATGCCAATAAAGCACTTGGAGGAGGAGGGGACTGATCCTACTCCAAGAGCCTGAAATGGGGGAAAAGGGAAACCAGGCTGTGGACCCCCAGAAGCCAAGGGTCCCTGCTCTGCATCTCCAATGCCTGAGGCAAGTGTTGCTCATTCTGTGGCTTCGGGAAACAGGGTCTGTGGTGATGCTGTTTGTTCCAGTTGCTCCTCCCTTCCTAGCTTGTCCACTCCACTTTTCCCTCAGAAGGTCAGAATTAGGAGAGATTTAGATAGACTTGGGACCTACAGCTCCCGATGAAGACCAGCTCCAGGAACTTCAGGCTGGACCTAGGGAGCAACTATATTGACTCCGAGATCTGCAGTCTGCCCTGTGATTTGAGAACACCAGGTAGGCAGCACTTACGGCAAACTTCACTAGTCATGGCCTTGGTGGCATTTCTGGCAGGAGTTGGTAAGAGCTGACCTTGCATCTGGAAGGAAGAAATGTGTCCACGTTTTCTTATGATTGCCAGAACAAGTCTCTGAGACTTAGATCCCCTAACTGTCATTATCCGTAACTGTTTATTGCCTAAAAAGCATAAAGCCCAAAGCCTGGCTCAGTGAAAGAGAAGGACAAGAACATAATACCACCTGTTTACATGTGTTTAATGCTTTGAATTTTCCAATTCCTATTAACATTCATTGTCTCATCAAATCCTCACAACATCCCTGTGAGGTAGGTCAGGCAATAAGTGGTTTGCCCACAGCCACACTAGTGATAGGGACGGAGTAAACCCATACTGCAGGTTTCCCAGCCCCCAAGCCGATGCACCTTTCATTTCATGTTACACAGGGTCTTTGTGCCAACCAGACACAGGAGCATCAGAAGCACTACCAGAAGCCTCCCTGCTCTCTAAGCTTGCAGAGGGGACCCAGAAATGCTGGGTTTGAGGCATCAAGACCAGGGGTGCCCCCTGGAGGCCAAGACAGGTAAACAGAAGGAAGGCCAGGAGTACTAGAAGTTAGGCTCAGCAGCCATCCCTGCCACCACCATAGGTCTCAGCCTAGCATATACTGTGTTCCCTACATATCTTGACCTTTGTCAGGTGCAAGTCTTATTAGTTCACTGAGAGGACACAGTGCCCACTCCCAGACGACAGTGCAAGGCGTGGCTAGCAGCAAGATTCCTGACATCCTTCCACAGTGCCTCCCCATTCTGTTACACTCTGCAGCCCAGGAAGAGGGGGAAGGTGAGGGCTGACTGACTCAGCCTGCAAGTGCTTAGAGATCTGAAGCTGAAAGGCTCCAGCACCATTCAGCTAATGATTATTATTAACTCTGAACACGCTTTGGCACAGCAGCCAGCTGGCTCAGGGAGGATGCCTAAATCTCCCACAGTGAGGTTTTAAAAACAAGACCTGGCTAGGCACAGTGGCTCACGCCTGTAATCTCAGCAGTTTGGAAGGCTGATGTGGGCAGATCATGAGGTCAAGAGATCAAGACCATCCTGGCCAACATAGTGAAATCCCGTCTCTACTAAAAATACAAAAAGTAGCTGGTTGTGGTGGTGCGCACTTGTAGTCCCAGCTACTCGGGACGCTGAGGCAAGAGAATCGCTTGAACCTGGGAGGCAGAGGTTGCAGTGAGCCAAGATCGTGCCATTGCACTCCAGCCTGGCGGCAGAGTGTGACTCCGTCTTAAAAAAAAAAAACCAGACCTACAGCAGCCATGCACGGGGGTGGAAGGGTGGGACGATGAGAAAGAAGGGATGGGCCAGTGAGTGCGAAGGGCAGCCTGCCTTGTGAAAGGGTGGGGAGAGAGGAGGCCCAGAATGGCAAGTGGTAACAGCCTACCACTTAAGAGCCAAGAAGGTGAGGCTGGAGGACTTCCCCAGACACAGAGCTCCTCCCATTCCACACCAACCCCAGCCATGATGGGGCTCAGAGGAGGGGTGGTTACAGGAAAGACGCAGGCTTGGGAGGGGTATCTGAACCCAGAAGGGTAATCTCATTTCCATTCAGATTTGGATACAGAAGCCATCTATATTTCTAATGTCCTCAAGGTTGAATCTGAATATAATCAAACTTGGAATATAATCAAATTTGGAATATAATCAAATTTGGAATCAGGACTTAGCTTGATATGAAAATGTGTGCAAATGACATTCAAATGTTTTAAATCTAAGCACGCTGCCCTGGCTTTTTTTTTTTTTTTTAAAAAAAGGCCTTAGCTTGATATGAAAATGTGTGCAAATGACATTCAAATGTTTTAAATCTAAGCACGCTGCCCTGGCTTTTTTTTTTTTTTAAAAAAAAAGGCAAAACAGGCTGACCACTAGCAGCTTTCCTTAGCCAGGGAACAAGGACAAAAGGGCAACCATGTGCTTCTCCTCCAAGGCGTTTCCTTCCTTGCTGAGGAGCCAAGTGAATACCCCAGACATGAGAAAAGGGAGGTGCGGGGAACAGAGGATGGTGGAGGAGGGAACACACAAGCAGGAGGCCATGCAGCTGGGAGCCACTGAGATCCCAGCTGGAGGAAGAGTGCCCTGGCACTGAGGTCTAATGGCTGTCCAGCTGCTGTCCCAGGATGTGAGGGCAGGTGGTGATGAAGGGAGAAATGGAAAGAAGGGGGAGGGAAGTCCCTCCGCAATCCGGCCTGCCAGGATAAGGGCTCCTCCTGGTGACCTATTCCCTACACTGCAGTCAGACCAGGCTAAGCAGGAGACCACCTGTGCCCTCCTCTCTGCTCTGTGCCCCTGCCCTACAGGCCTGCTGGTCAGAAAGGCGACAGCTGGGGCCCCTTCCTCCTGCAGAATATAAATGACTCCCCCTTCCTCCCAGGGCTGGGAATAGACATCAGATGGCACAGCCCACGCAAACTGCCGGCTGTCAGCACGCCTGCCCGCCCGCCCACCAACCCCCGCACCACCTGGGAGGAGGCAGCACCTCAGGCAGGCTCAGGCTTTACGGCACTGCCTGCTTGCTCTCAGAGCAAGCTGGTGAACTTTGCCTGGCCCTCCTACCCTGCGGCAGGTAGAGTGAGCCCCTCAGCGCTGGCTGTGATGAGGAAAGAGGAGATGCAGTCCCTGGATCAAAATCAACGCAGGTGAGATTCTCCATGCAGCCCCAGTAACCGTTTCTGCTGAGTTCACACCACACTGAGAGTTTGAGAGGAGGGAGGACAATGAAAGAGACAGGGACAATACCCTTCTGCACAGCAGGGGCCTCCTTTAGATGCTTGTCCTGGGAGAGGCAATCTCCCCCAGTAGGGGCATAATGAGGTACATGGAAAGGACACTTCTGCCCTTGCTGTCCCCATTCTTGTACTATTGAATCAAACCAACCTCCTTACTTCTGAGCTACCCGGAGAGGAGGACCTGAATCTTCAAAAGACCCAGGACATCCACAACACTAACATCTAGGAACACCTGCCCCTGCTCCCGGGAACTGGAGCTCCAGCGCCTACACCCCAGGCTTCCCAGAGTTCCCTGTGAGCTATGTCTACCTGCCTCAGCAGCACTTTTCTGGCTCAGCTGTTGTCAGGCCTTGCCATGATCTAGGAAGGTCCCATCTTCTCAACTGAGCCAGACCACAACTAAGCAGTCTAGCATCCAGTCCTCACCACTGAGGGCAGTCTGGGGAACTACTTTCAGCTGCAGCAAGGAGGGTGGTGGTCTCTGTAGGGAAGAGAGCCCAGCCCTCATTTGCCAGCTGGCACCAAACTCAGCCCCCTCTTGGACCTAAGAGCTGGCAAGAGATGACAAGTGAGGAAAGCTTAGATAACAAGGGAAGAGGGGGAACCAGAGAAACTTTGTTTTCTTTGGATCAGAAAAGCCCTGCCCCACTTCCTTGGCCCTTATGAAAAGCTTCAAAAAGTGCCCAGAAGCTATGTGCTAAGGCAAGAACCTGAGCCCTAAGAAGGGCAAAGCATGAGATGCCCAGGGCTCCTTTGCTCTAAGAAGTGATTTCAGGGAGGGAGCACACGCAGGCCCTGCAGCCCTCAAGCCCAGATCCTGAGGTGGGCTGAAGGGAGATCTCAGCTGCGCTAGGCAGCCCAGCCAGGAGCCTTCAGCTTGGTTAAGTCAATGCCCTCCTGCTTCTCCAAAAGCTTTAAAGTGACTTTAGTGCATTTACTGTCTTAGAGTCCAGAAGACTCTCACCTGAGTCCCTTCTCTCCACAGCGCCTGACCCCCTGTGCCCTGGCACAGGGACCAAATCAGCACAAATTTCTGAAGGGCCTCAAGGGCAGAGCTGTCCCTCCAGGGGAGTAGAGAGAGAGTAAAGAACTACCCCGAGTCTGCTAAGTGGTCCACATGGTCCACGGCTGGGAGGGTGTTCTGAGACATCGACCTGACAGATGCTGAGTATTAGAGAAGGAAGGAACTTAAGAGACTGTTTAGAAACATTTCACAGATGAAGAAACGGAGGTCCTTAGATATGGAACATACCTAAGGTTGTACAACAGAGCCTAACAGGACCATATCCCATAAATAAGACCCATGGGCTCTCTCCACTACATCACACTGCTTTCTTAAAAGTAACCCAAATATCCATGGATGCCATTCATTACTTACGGGAACCCAATTTTTCATCAGGCACACAAGCAAGAAATGACCACCAGGACATCACTATCACCACCCAAAACTCTGTCTCTCATCAAGTAGAGGCTTCAGGATCAGGCTCTCCATCACCTTCCAGTCATACCCTGTACATTTTCCCATTCTGACCCACTGAATTATTCCTCAACAACAGCAGCTTTGGTTTCTGCAGTCCCTGAACCAGCCAAGAAGTGCAAAAACCTGATCACTTCTGAAATAGATCCCTTATAGATCACCGAATGAACCATGATGTTCAAGGCAAGTGTCCCACCCAGATTAAGAGTTCGCAGGAACTCACATTTCCATTTTCTTCCTCGGCAAGTAAGATCTGGAGATCTGGTGCATGATCACCAGGGCTGGATAGACGGGCAGTGCCAGGCACAGGTACCAGGCTGCACCTTTGATCTGGGCCTGGAACCATACTGAGTACATGCCCAGAAGCACGGTCACTGTAGCCATCAGGTAGACCACCAGTCCACACGTCAGATGGTAGAGCTTGAGGCGAGCCACCCTCGAGACCCTGGCTGCCCGGGGACAAAGGAGGCAGAGCCCACACAGTGCCTGGACACCTGTGGCCAGCAGTGTCAGGGCTCCCACCCAGCTGTGCCAGGACACCAGATGAGGCAGCTCACTGCGGGTCCTGCTGGAGATGATGAAGCCCAGGCCCAGAGCTGCACAGAGGATGGCTAGGGTCTGCCCTGCCCAGTGGAGCCGGATCCGTGCTTTTCGGGAGCAGAAGAAGAACGGGGAGTGTTCAGGTGAGAAGAGTAGGATGGCTTCAGCCATGCAGAGGCAGAACTGTGAACATAGGAGAAAGCCAGTAAGCCTCATGTCTGGCTTGGAGGCCTGAGAAAAAGGAGGTGCTCTCATACATCCTAACAAAGAGGACAAAGGGTAAGGGTTAAATAAGTTCCACCAGGACCACCAGTCTCACAGCTCAACATTTCTGGGAATAACTGGGAATCAGCACTCGAGTGCACATCTCCTCGTTCAGGTTGACACCTCCCCATCCCAACCTCACAATGACTCCCATTTCTTGACCAGTGGAACAGCAAATGTTAAACTTCTCCCTGAACTTTGGGGACAAGTCGGGAAATGACTGGGTAACACCTCTCCCCGCTTCTCCTTTCAGGCCCCAGTGGAGAAAGAAAGATCTTCCATGCCCTCCCACCCTTTTCAACCACCTGACATCTGCCTATGGCCCAGCCCTCCAGGTTTCCCAATCCCATAGGCTGCAGGGAAAAATGAACCCTAGATGTTTCCTCCACCTGCCTTAACCTTAGAAAGGCTGAGCTTTCTGAAAGCTGGGTGCTTTCAGAATGAGGTGAGGCATACCCAAACAAATCAGATAGAAGCCCAAACTCACCGCCAAGGACATGAATACAGGGTGCCAGGAGAAAAGACCTAAGAATCAAAGAGAACAGGCTGAGGGCTTGGTACCATTGTTCCTGCCCCTGTAGCTAGGTGGAACCCAAAGAATCTAGCCACATGAGAAAAGTACCATCCCCAATCCTAATCGGGAACAGGAACTAAGGACAAAGTGGAGCAGCCAAGGGGCCCAGAGTGAGCAACCAAGAGGGCCTCCCTATCCACACACAACAGTTTGGCCTGGGTTCCCCGTTCAGCACCTCTTAGCTGGCAGCCCAGTCCTCTGCCTTTTTTGTTTGTTTTTTGTTTTTTTGAGACGGAGTCTCGCTCTGTCGCACAGGCTGGAGTGCAGTGGCGCAATCTCGGCTCACTGCAGCCTCCACTTCTCGGGTTCAAGCGATTCTCCTCCCTCAGCCTCCCAAGTAGCTGGAACTACAGGCGCGCGCCATCATGCCTGGCTAATTTTTGTGTTCTTAGTAGAGACGGGGTTTCACCATGTTGGCCAGGCTGGTCTCGAACTCCTGACCTCAAGTGATCCACCCGCGTCGGCCTCCCAAAGTGCTGGGATTTCAGGCGTGACCCACTGCGCCCGGCCTCCTTCACTTCTATTCTCCATCAGGGGACCTGTTTCTGAGGAAGTAGTTCGGTCTGTTCAATCGTCTGCCCTTCCCCTTCAGCACCCCAAACCCCATTCTTCCAGGATCCCTGGGACCTCGCCCCACCAGGCCCTCAAAATCCCTCCACTGTTTCTGTCTCCCCTTTACAGCTGGGGTCCCTCCTCCAAGTCTCCCGGCGTTCCCAAGCGCTGCCCCTCCAGCATCTCCGCTCCGCCCCCTTCCGCAGCCCCGCCCCGCACACTCACTGGTTCCTGGACGGGACAGCGCTGTCAGAAAGATGGTGAAGCCCAAAGCTACCAGGTGCGCCAAGATCCCACTGCCTCTCCGCAGCCAGCGGGTCAGTCTCGGCTCCCCAGCTGAAGCGGGAACCAGACCTACCTCCAAGGGCTGCATGGCCGTGGCCGGCGGGCTCGCACACTCCAGCTGCCCGAACACGTCTTCCGGGTTTGCGATCGCGGAGGCGGCGGCGGCTGCAGGAGAGGCTCCTCCCCCGGGACGCCGCCGGCAGTGCGACGGAGTGGCCCACAGCGCCCTCTGGGGGCTGGGGGGGAAGCGCGAGTGCCCCGGAGAGGCCCGCTCCCGTGGGAGCCCGGAGGCAGAAGGGGACTGAACAGTTCCCGGCCCACCTTCATTTGTTTCCGTGTGTCTGTCTACAAGGGCCTAAATCCCAAGCAGCCTGTGGAAATACATTTGTGGCAAACGATTTCAGTGAAACCCCAAATCACACACTTGGTACGCTGAACCAAGAGCGTGAAACCAGCGTTTGGAACCGATTTCTAGTAGTACTGGATTTCCCTGGCTGTGCACTGTCGTCCTGTCACCTCCTTCTGTGTTGTTCAGGGAACAAGCTTCCTCCCTGCCTAAAGGCAAGGAGACTAGGAAAGGACATGGCCAAAATATAGTGCCTTGAACCTGGTGGACCAAAGGAGAGAGATGCAAGTCTCATCTCGCATCTGCACGGAAGTGGTTCCCAGCGAGATAAATGGAATAACTAGGGCACTCCCAGCCCTGCCGCCTCCTCACAAGCTGCTCAGCCCTGAGGAGCCAGGTGATCCTGAAGGACCAAGGCTTCCCACACTCCGGTGGCCTCCCACACCACCAGTTCTGCAAGTGATGATGCCTTTTCCCTTCCTGCCTCCAAAAAAGGTGTGGTTCAACCCAAGGAGGCCTCCCTGGGAAAGGTTCTACCCCTTCCTTAAAGGCAAACCCACAGGCCGGGAAGGAAGGCTGTCCAATAGAAAACAGGAACATCCCAACAGCAATGACCAACCCAGCTCAAGCTCCCTAAGTGGCTGAGAAAATGAGGCTGCTGGTAAGAGGTGGGAAAAGCAGGAACAGCTGAAGAAAAACAGGCAATAATTCAGGGAGGGATGGACGCCTGGGGTTGCTGAAGGACCAGAAAAGGGTCACAAGCCAATTCCCAGATCCTCAGGGCAAGGATCCTAGAGAAGAGCCAGAAGTGCAGCTTCCCCTCTCAAGTTTTTCTTCCCAATGGGACCATAGTCGTCTCTGGGGTCAAGACTCAGGAAGCCTTGCTCATTCAGAGCCACACGCCTCATCATCCTGTCTGGAGAGACTCCCCCAGTGACACAAACTCCACACATTTTTCACACTATTGAAAGTGAGAAGATGACAGTAATAATAATAATGAGCATAAGAGACTTTTGCAGGCAAGCTATGGGAGCTGGAGTCTTGCTGCCTATCATCTCAGCCTCCCAGGGTAGGGCTGGGGACAGTAAGGACACTCATTTTGTTATTTTTTTCCTTCCTTTTCTATGTTTCTGTTTTTATATTTTCATAGCAGCAACAGAACAGGGAGACAGTCTTGAGGTATTTTAAAGAGCTTTTTTTCTTAAAAAAAATAATATAAAGTTATAAAAAGCGGCAGCAGCCTGGGGCCCGGATCTGGAGGGGAGGAGGTGCTGGCGGCTCCGTTGCAGTGGGCAGGCACTTTCTCGTTAATGGGTTTTTGACTGCAGGAAGACAAGAGGCGAGAGAAAGGGTCAGGGTGGGGGCCTACCAGCTGTCCTACCCAGTGAACTGTGTGGACTACAAGGGCTAAAGCTTGGTTTCCTTCTGCTGGCCCGGTGAGTAAAACTGAGCAAGTAGTGGGCAGCCTGGGTAGTGAAGCTGGAGAATACACAGGGTTTATGATTAGGCCCACATCTAACCCAGGAGAGCACCCCCATCCCACCTCCTGGCAGAGATCATATGGAGAGCACATGGCACACTACGCCAGGGCTCCCACCAGAAGAGGCAAATAAAACTGGCTGCAGGCTTTACTGGAAACCCTGGAGACCCTGCCTGTCACCTGCACACCTGGAGGTGGGCACATGTGCATAAGTGGACATGGGGTTGTGTGCCTGCCCTCTGAGGCCCTGATGCCCAGAGGAAAATCCAGTGAGGCCAGCCCACCCACCTTGCTGCTCGGCATGTTAGGCTGTGACCCAGGGACTCAAACTCCCTTTCCTTCAGGGAACAGAGGTAGCTCCAGTACCTGGAATGAGGGTCACAGCCAATTCAGAAAGAAGTAGCCCTTCGATTACAGCAAAAGCAGGGGTGGAGGGGTGCCGCATCTCCTCAGCCCAAGGGAAAGGGTTAGGGATAGGGGAAGGTTCACCAGGCAAAAGCTGGAGTCACTTTGCTAAGAACTGACCTACCTCTTCCTAAAGAAAACAGTCCAGGAACTCTCTCTCAACTTCCCCTTCCTCCCTTTCCCTGCACAAACACCAATGTAGCATCTTCTCTGTATCAGGTACCCGCCGTGTGCCCCACCCTCATCAATCTTCAGGGAGCCTGGCTGGTACCTTCAGTGTAGAGCACTTCTCCTCAAAGGCCAGGGCCGGGCCTGGCTTCTTGCGGCGCACAGAGCAGGCCACATCAGCAGGGGCACCAGCCTGACAGTGCTTGGCCTTCACTGGCCGGCAGTAAGTGGCCAGGTTTTTCCGCTTCTTGGCCACCTCCTCCTCAGAGAGGCAGTTGGTTGGCAGGGCCTTGGCTGGGTGTCCAGCTGCTCCCCGGTTCTCCAGCTGAGAAGCCTTGACTGGTGTAGGGAGCTGATGAGGGGAACCACGACAGTCCAGGGGCCCTGCCCGCTTCACTCTTGGCCCCATTGTCCCGTTAAGCCCCATGCTCAGGGCTGTTTTAGTTTTGGCCGAGAGGCCCCGACAGCCAGAGGGTTTGCCTTTTCCAGTGGGCTCCAGGATGCAGGTCCGTTTAAGAGTGGTGGGGCCAGGGGATAACTTCCGCTTTCGAGAAGGGGCCTCCACCTCCACCCCATCCTTGCCTTTGGATGACTTGCTGGCCTTGGAAGGCGGCAGCTTGCTGAAGGACGGGGATGGCGTGTTGGCAGGCAGTGGTGAGGTGATAGCCTGGCTCCCGCCCATGCACTCTGCCTGGCTACAGGCAGCTGCCACACTGGGGGAGCCTGCAGGGTAGCTGGGGACAAGGCTGTCCTTGGTGGGGGGCGTGGAGGCTGGGCAGGCAGGTCTCGGGGGTGGACCTGGAAGGCGGGGGCAGGTGCCTGTAGAGGATGGGCTCAGGGGAGCAGATAACGGGGAGTTGACAAGGTGAGCTGGAGGTTCAGCTGCTGGTGGGATCTTCCTGCAGCAAAAAGAAGGCCCCACTGTGACTGCCAAAGCAAACAAGAGAGCTTCTCCCAACACAAGACACACTCCAGTCTCTCTGCCCCACCTAGAAATGGCCAGCAGAGCCCCAGAGTTGCTGCCATCTGCTGGAAGATGCTGGAACTGAGGGTTAGGAAGAAGACACGGCTGTGCCTGTGGAGAGGAATTAACTAGTACATACGAACTAGGAGGTAGCCCACTAGGAACTTCATTTTAAATCTTGGTTTGGGCATCCCCTATCCCTAGTTACCCAAAAGGTACTGGAAGTGATGGATGAGAGTCTAGATTCAACACCAGACCACCATTCCATGCCCTGCCTTAGCCAAGCTCTAGGCTGCCAAGTTTTCCCACCTCCTTTTCATGCCACTCCCTATCTAGGGTTCTGCTGGCAAACAGCCAAGGCACACCTATGGATATACAGGAAAGATCAGGGCTTCTGAAGTCCAGGTATGTCTGGAGCCTGGGAATTTCCATTCTAGAACTTCCATTCTGGGCCCAAGAGACTTACTTCCACATGTGTGAGCTGAGGTGCCGTTCCAGCATGGAGCTGAGTGCTGAGCAGAACCGGTCCAGCCGGCGGCTAAACACATAGCATCCTGGGCTCACCAGCCGGCTCCCAAAGGTGCAGAACTAAAGGCAGAAGGACGGTGCATAGTTGGCAGGGTCTGGGGTGCACGGAGGGCATCTGCACACAGGATCTGGCCTCTTTTCCCCGTATTGTGGGCCAGGAGTGCTGGGTCACCCCCTCCCTAGAACCCTGTCCCAGGTCCTTACCGCTTGTGGCCGTGGGGGCCGGGTTGCATAATGGCAGTCAGGGGGTAGGTGGAGGTCATCAGATGTCCCCTCCTCCTCACTCTCCTCGCTGGATGCCTGGGCCCCACCCCGGGGCATGGGGAAGGGGAACAGGCCTGGGTCCCCATCACCACCACAGGGGCCTTCATCATCCAATTCACTCTCGGAGGAGGCCCGGGACCTGTAAGGGCCAAAAGAGATGTGAGGGGAATGTGACTATTGTGGGGTCAGAGTAGGGGCATCCTTGAACCCACCAAGCTCAAAGAGCAGGGCACTGGTGCAGACACCCTGCAGGGCAATCAAAAGAGGACAGAAGGAAGGGAAAGACAGGAGGGAACAACAGAGCTCACAGAGTAAAAGACAGAGAGACTGCTCCCAAGGGATTCTCTCCTCAGCCCCTTCACCTCCCAGGCCCTTCCTCCTCAGGGGATAATCTGCTGTAGATCCACCTCCTCCAGAAAATCTTCGCAATTAAACTGTACCCAGCTCTGGTCAGCCCAGTCAACTCGCTCAACCCCCTTCTTGCATTACATATTCCTGTGAGCCTGTCTGTGAGCTGAGCCTGTCTGTGAGCTGAGCCTGTGTTTCGTGTCTGCCCCTTGTGTGACGGGCAGAGATGCATGTATGTGTCCTTCAGCAAGTCAGGCTCTCCCTGGGGTCCGGCGTAGCCTCTGCACACGAAGGGGCAAGTGAGTGAATACACACAGGGCTGCCTTGCCCGGGACTGTGACCCTTTCGGCCTTTCAGCTCCCCAGTGACAAGTTTCGGCCTGTTGGAGGCAGCTCGGAAAATGTTCATATCCCAAGTGTTGGATCTGGCACGCTGCCGAGGGGCTGGGGTGCTGTGGTATGCTTGGTTGGGAACAGGGGAGTCTCCTGCTTCCACACCACTGTCAGGAGCCCCAGGAATCCCCCCACACTCAGGGCTGAGTGAGTGCACCTTCCAGTACACTCCCTGAGCCTGTTTCCAGGGGCCCCTGATGGCTTAGGGGCCAAATACCCCCAGGTGAGGTAGGGGTTGGATTCTAGACGTACCTGGGCAGTGCACAGTATGGGTAAGTCTGCTTGGCACGAACAGAGAAGGTGCTGCTGGGAGCAGCCACCGCTGCCACAACCTGGACTGAAGAGGGGAGCTCCTGGGAGGGGCGCTCGAGAACTTGCTCCTTGCGCCCTGGGCTCTTCTCCTTGGGAGACTCTCCTTTGCGGGAGCTGGCCTTCAGCTCTGCCACCAGCACGTCAAAGTCCTTGGCCCGGCCCTGGACTTCCCGGCGCTGGTGTACTGAGTGGATCTGGAATACAGCAGGGTGGAGAGCTGGGGAGTAGGTATGAACTGAGCAGGGGTGAGGGACGGCAGGGTGCTTTGGCCTGGGCAAGCTTGGGGGTGGGGAGAGATGTGGGCATATTTGCAGCTGTGTTCATGTGTCTTTGTTTCACTCCCCCATGAGGCCAAAACCCTCCTTTGGGATGGAGGAATCTGGAAACTCCCTCCTTCCCACTGTTCCCACCTTCTGCCCAGGAGGGGCATCCCCATCTCCCCTTCCCTTGGGTGGGCCTAACCGCCTTCCCTTAAGCTGGATCTTCAGTAACATCGACATTCCTCTCCTCGCCCAGGGAAGGAGTGGGCAAGCCCTGTGCTGTCCTCCCTCATTGTGCAGTGGGAAGGGGGTTACCTTGCAGGTCAGCAGGCGGGTACAGATCTTTTTGGTCTCTGGATTTATTACCCCACACTGCCTGTTGAGGTCGCACTCCTTCCCTGTGGGGAAAGCAGTTCCAATGAACCTCAAGACCATTTCCAGGAGTTCACAGGAGGATCTGGCTGCTTCCTGTCAAGGGCCTGAGAAGAACTGGTACTAAGGCAGAAGAGCCTATAGCCCTCAGCCTGGGGCTCTACCTTCCAGAGAAACTCTGGGCATCGACATCTCTTTGCTGGGTGTGAGAACCATCCCTATCCCAATCTCAGATGCATCTTTTGGGACTTCAAGCCCAAAGCAGGGCAACATATATCAAGAAACAAAAGCAGCCATGGGCATCTGGGATGCCAGAGAAGCCAGCTGTGAGATGTGCCCTGGATCTAGGCGAGACAAGAGAGAAAGAACTTCACCTCCTGGGCATGGGCTCCCTCAGCCTTGATCAGGAGACACAGGATGGACAGAAGCTTCCTGGGAAGCAAGCAGGTCAAGAGGTGACAGGGCTCCTGTACCCTACAACCTGTGATGGCCAGGCCCATAAACCTGACCTCCTCCTCATCTGGCCCAAGGACAAAGCAGCCCAAAGGAGTCCCCACTCTACATTCCGGACCCCCAAGACCACAACTACTCACGAGCCATCTTCCGGTGGGTTTTAGGGGGCAGCCTGGTCCCACTGGGCTCCTTTTCAGGAGGGGTGCCTTCAGCCCAGTGACTGGACCCCTCACTGGGGATGATCTCCATGTTCTCTCTGCCAGGAGGTTCTTTAGAAGGCGGAGCCATGGGAGGTTTTCCAGGGGAGTCCTTGGTGAGACCCCCTGGCTGGCTGAGAAAAGCAGAGGGTGGGGCCACCCTGATTCCATGTCCATCGGGCTTCGGGAGACTGGACATCTTCTCCAGATTCACCACAGGCACGAAAAGGCTACATATAGAGAGAGGGGGTTGGCTGGGGGAGGGGAGGGGAGGCCTGGGGCCTGGACTCTAGCCCAGAGCCATCTCGTTCCCAGCCCTGGAATTTGGGTGGGCTCCAGCAGGGGTGTGAAACACGGGAAGAGGAGACCCCATCTTCCCTGGAATATATGGAAGGAAGCCGCAGACAGGGTGGCTGCCTCCTGCTGTGAGGAGTACGCCTCGACCCAGGGCTGCCTGTATTGATGTCAACCCATCCATGGGTCAGGGTCAGGGCCAGTCTCAGAAAGTCTCCAGCCTCTCCTTACCAGAGGTTGTCCTTCTGGGTCTTCTCAGGAGGCTGGTGGCCACGGCTCCGGGACCCCTGGCCCTTCTCCCTGGAGGAGGTTTTCGTGGAACCTGGTGCCCTACAAGCTGGGCCCTGCCCATTCACTACATGGCATTTCTGAGAGCTGGCAGGGGCTGGAGGTGGGGGTGGGGCCCGGGCATAAAGCTTGCTGAGGGGCCCGTGTCTTCTTTCTGTCACCAGGAGGTGGAAAGAATAATCGAGGTGAGTGGTATCACCACTTCCTTCCCCAACCTAACCCTGTCCATAGACTCACGAGAGAATCCGAGTTTCCATAAATTAGATTGTAAACATGCCTCCTTCCCATTTGAATCTGAGCCTTTAAGACTCAAAATTCAAGACCTAGCTTCCTGAACTCCTTAACTCCTCCCTTAACTCCACTGGATGCTAGAATTTTGTTCAAACAATAATCCGACTCCCCACAATGCTCTGAAGCCACCCCCAGGACCTTCCTATCCTCAACACCACCCTCCATTACCCCACGAGACCTCCTGACTGACCCCGTCCTCAGAGTTCCATGCTCCACCTTCCCCTGTCCCTTTATCTCCTCCCTAGGGCTCCCCTCACCGCAGTGCTTCTGGAAAGCTTGAGGCTTCACCACTTGGCTGCAGTGGTTACACACAACCAAATAGAAGTCATCATGGGCAGGGCAGTGCCCGAAGATGGACATGTCTGCAATGACAGAAGCCCATGTCACTGGGGCTGAGGATCCCAGGGTTTCCCTGGAAGATCGGAGAACACTCCCATCCCATCACTCAGAGGGCACTTCACCTCCCCGCTGACATAACAAGCTCCATGCTGAATGCTCCCAGCTTCTAGAGTTCAATCTAAGCAGTCCCAAAGGGTATGCGCTTTCAGGTGAGTGGGCAATCACCTATGATTACGATCTCCAACAGCAGGTCACAGGAGCCAGAGCAACCGGCCGACTCAGACCTATCAAAATGAGGGTCCCCAGACAGCTGCTTCAAGCAGCCACCTCCTTCTGTAGTGTGGTGGAAAAGTGGAGCGTGGTCCTGTCTGCCCTGGGTCCCAGCCCTAATGTGTGTCGACTCCCACCTTCTTTAATGAGGGTCATGGCATCCAACTTCTTCATGTTTTTGCTACTCTCCTCCAGCTCAGCCCCTAGAGGAGAAACACAGCTCAGAAGGTTCAGGGCCAGTTTTAGGGAGTCTCCAGCCTCCCCTTACCAGAGACTATTCTTCCCAGAAGACAACCCAGAGGTTGTCCCCTTTCCAGAAGCCCCAAGCAGGGCCTGCAGCTCAACAGTATGAACCCCACACTCCATGACAAGCTCCTGGTGTGAGGACCACTTGGGGAACCTTTCAGTGGGTCATTCTCAGATGCCCATCTTCCTTCACCTGCTGCATCTGGACTAAGACGGTCCCACTAAGAAGAATCCATCCGCCTTTCTTATAGGACCCTTCACCTCAAGGTGCAGTTCAGGGCTCCACTGCTAACTAGTTGGGTGACTGTGGGTAAATATCATCTCTTTTCTGGGCCTGCTTCCCCATTTAAAGGGGAAACAGTCCTTAACGAAGTTTTCTATCCCTGAGTCTCTTCTTGAGATTTCTCAGATGGGTCCTTTCTGCTACTATATGGCATCCCAAATAGATACTCTCCCAGGTCCCCACCCCCATGAATTCAATTTTGCTCCACCTGGGTTACCATAGCATTGTCAAAGTTACACCCAGCTTCTCAGGTCCTGCACTGATAGGATGGTCACAGAGCAGAAAAACTGCTGTCTTTGGTCCTTGAGCATCTTCAAAGTCTCCTTGGTCAGCTATGCAAGTCCCTCCCCTTCTTAGAGGGGCTTTGGGCAGGGGTTGCCCTTGTACCTCAGTTTCTGGGTTAATGACAAAAACATCTTAGCTGTGCAAAGCAGCTTTTTCCCCATCCCCCTACCTCTCTCCTCCCCCCTCCCTCCTCTACGCCCCCTCCCTGTCCCTTGGAAAAAAAAAAATCAATTCTGAGTCACCAAACCCGTCTGACTCCATTTCCGGTTCTCAATGCACCCAGACCCTGACAATGGCCCCATCCTTGCCCACCCAGCATGGGGCAGTCCCAGGGTGGCCTGGGCTCCCGCTTAGGTCTGATCTCTGATGCCCATTAACACATATGCTCCTTTCTAGGATGAGAAGATTGTTGACAATCTTATATAATATCCAGATTATGAGGGGTGGTGGGTTAGGCACGCAAGAGACAAGGGGCAGCTCCCACTCTTAAGTCCGTGAAATGCAAGTGCGGGGAATGATGGACAGAACGAAACTGGGAGTCGGATGTCTCAGAGGAGAACAAGTGTCATTAGAGACCCCTCCATGCAGTCTCCTCCTCCACCTCTTCTCACTTGCAAACTTCTTCAGGGGCGTGATGCCTGCTGTCACCCCGAAAGGCCACGAGGCCAGGTGCTCCCTGGGGCCCAGAAGACAAAGATCAGAAGAAGGGGCTGTAGGCCCGCTCACTAAGACACTCAGGGGCCTAGAGAAGGTGAGAGTCAGAGGAGAGAGCCAAGAGGCAGGGCAAGAGGCCTGGGAAAGGACAGTGGGTTAGAGGCATGGATGGATGGACCGAAGGATGGAGGGAGGGAGGGAGGATGGATGGATGGACGGACGAACTAACGCGGAGGGGGCGGGGGTCTAAAAGCACTGCAGCTGCAGGCAAATGCCGAAAAGGAGCAGGAGGTGTGGGGCAAAAGGCGAAGGAACAAGGAGGGTGAGGAAGGGGGCACAGAAGTGGGGTGCGTGGGAAACACGTGGAGAAGACTGTTGCGGACAGGGAAAGCCGGAGGCAGGTGCAGGAGGGGCGCGAGCTGGGGGGCAGCAGGCAAGGAGAAAGATAAAGGCAAGCCTATGTGGGGGGCAGGTATTGGGGACTGGCAGAGGCAGAGATGGGCAGGGTGGGCTGTAAGCGGTAAGCCGGCGCTAGGACCCGGAGGCGCGAAGGTGACGGAGCGGGCGGGCACTAGGACCCGGCGGGTCCTTTGTTTGGGGGGCCGGGGAGCCGGACGGCGGCTCCAGTCGGCGGCTCCCCTCAGCTGGCGGGGGCCCGGAAGGGGGGAGGGGAGATAGTGATGGGGTCCCCGGACTTTAGGATGGCTTCACTCACCGTCAGTCGCGGGCAGGTCGGCCCGCTCCACCCACGAGCTCCAGCTCTGTCCCGCGAAGTCATCGAGACTCGGCACCCGCCGCTCCAGAGCGGCCATTGCTGCCGCCGCGCGTTCACGCACCGCCATCACCGCCGCGGACGCGCGCCCGCCCTGGCGCCGCCGCCGCGCGGCCCCCTCCCCCTCGCCCCGTCGCGGGCACGCCTCCCCTCTCCCCCCCACCTGCCTTCCAGCTCAGTCTTTGCGCAAGCGCAGAACAGGTTGCCTGTTCCCGGCCCCTCTCCCTCCCGCACAGCTTTCTGGGAAGTGTAGTCTTGGAGCGGATGCTATTGCCTACCGAGCTTGCAGCAAGAGTCCCTCCGAAATGCACAATTACAGGGGGAAAAAAGAAGACCAAAGCTCCAGGATCTCCTCTTCTAATCCTTATGCACACATTATTTGTGCTACCAGTCCACTCTCCCAAGCTCACTGCACCTCTCCCCAGCCCCAAACCTCTCTCAGCCCAGACACCCCTCTAAGCCGTGCGTCCGCCAGCTGGCTGGCGCCCCTTCCCGGGCTGGCGGCCACGAAGCGACTCCGCTCCCCTGTAGATCGAATAGGGTAGGTGCAGGGAGGTGGGCGCTGTGAATCAGAAGGGCAAGGGGAGGGAGTCTGTAGGATGTGCTGAAGGACACCGGGGTGGTGTGGGGGAGGGCCTCGGCTCCCGTGTCGTGCCTCCTCTGTGGGAAACCCACACTGCCCTGATACAGAGCAGAGGGTTGGAGTGGCGTTGTCTGGATTTGAGAGGACCTGGCCAAGCTGACCAAAATCACCTGTCACGATGACAGAAGGCTGTCTCCGAGCCAGAGCCAGCCCTGGAACTGGGGTGGCCCCGAGGCGGCTGGTGTTTGCAGCATCTCTGCTGATCCGTCTCTCTTCTCCTGAGAACTGCGATCGATACCCTGTACCGCCTCTTCCCAAACCCTGGCTGGACCCTGACTCCATCCATCACTTTGCCTTCTTTTTCTAATGAATACTTTCTCTGCTGGAAGGGCTGCTTCTGAAGCCTCGGCATAGGGAGATTTCTCATCAGAGCTGTCATCTTCCTTGCTAAGGTCTGGAAAGTACCTTAATCATCCATTTATTTCATCTTCTCAGCTGATAACATTTCTTCCCACCCTCACACAATCAAGAGACAAAAGTCTGCCTCCTCCATTTCCCACCCAACCCCCCATCACATTAAAAAAGAAATACTAATCCTTTTTCCTCCTCAACGTCTCACACCTCACCCCCTACTCTTGACCCTTTAGCTAAGGGAAAAACAAGTTTGGGAGCAAGACCTTAGATTTTCTTCTTTTCATCCAGGGAAGGTATAAGTACTTCAAGAATAATCTCTGAGGGCAGGGAATCTCAACCTGAGACCCACAGATGATCCCTAGGGCATCCAGGAATCTGCTAAAAATTAAATGTTCAGTTGTACCCAAGTGTATTTTTCTAGGGGATGTAAATGTAGTGTGTGACTCTCTGAAGGGGGATAGAGGTACAAGTTTGTTCAACAAGAAGCTGATAGTTAAGAAAGCGAAGCATATGGCCCTTAACTCCTGACAGGAAGCGTGTTTGGGTCACAGATGGTAGGAGAGCAAATGGAAACAGCTTTGTGGAAGCCACTATCTCTCACCTTTTGAGTTTGCTCCAGAATTGCTAATGAGTCCCAGTTACTTTGGTCTAATTGGGTGCCACCAAAAGAGGAGATGTCACTAGACGAGAGCCTGCTAGAAATAACTGCTCTCCTCTCTGCACCCCAAGCAACAGAGTATGACTTTGTTGCTTGGGGTACAGAGTGGAAAGCACCTTGGTGAAAGTCCTGATATTTGACCAAGAACTTAAAGCAAGGGAGAGGAAGAAAAAATAAATCCCCAGAAGGACTCCAGTCTCAGATCCTTCATGGCAAGTACTTGCAGCACTGTTTATTCAAATGTATAATAACAAGCACCGGAAAACAACATGCAACATTCTCCCCCCACCCCTGATCTGCAATCCCAGAAGTAGGAGACTGATGGCCGTGAGAGTGATGGAAACTCATGTCCAGGAAAGGTCCTAGGTGGGCACCCTGGCGCTGGGTTAGAATCTAGTGGGACAAAGGGCAAGTGCCCTGCCCATTAGCCTCCTACAGCAGCTGGAGAAACCAGACACTTTCTTCTACCTCAGGCCCCACTTTGCAAAGCAGCGATGCCAGCTCTGGTTGGAGAGAACATGAGTCCGATGAGGCACTTGGCCCCGCCCAGCCCTCCGGAGGTAATGAGGTGAAGTAGCCTTTCCTCTTAGGGTGGCCATGGAGAGTGAGGCCATAGCCTAAATCAAGGCTCTCCTGACAAAGAACAAGAGAGCCCCCTGAGAAGAAAGAGAACGAGCCTTCCTTGCTTTAAAGAGTTCTGGGCTGGGAGTCCTTGGCAGGAGTGAATATAATCTCCCCCCACCCCCCGCCCGCAACTGCTTTCCCTAGCTGAAGGCCCAGTTGCTAACTTCAGCCCCCAAATGAGAACACTACCCAGCACATTTCAAATAAATTATAAATACAGACACAGAATCCAAACAAAGATCCAGTAGAAGCTGCTCACAGACCCCCACAGAGGCCAGCCTGAAGAAAAATGAAGGTCGCCCCTTTGTTCTCGGTGTCTCTGGAGCTGTAGGCAAAACTGTCCCCCCTTGTCCTTGAGTAACCTGGGGACAGCTCATGACGGAGAGAGTTTCTGACTTAGAAACCCTCTCACCCCATCTCCTTTCTTTCCTCCTCAGATCTCTTCCCCAAAATCTTAAACAAACAAACAAAAACTAATTCTTTCACTGAGGGACTCGAGCCTTTGGGGATGTAAATCTTACCTTTTCCCCATCAGGAGAAAATGACTGGCCTGAAGTCAAAAGTCCTGACTCCTAGGTACCCCAGTAATGCACATGTTACTATGGATGGTGTTTAGAGAGGGAGGAGGTTGAAGGGGGTTGACTCAGTCCTGAGGAGAGATTGGCACAGGGCACAGTCACCTTTGGGATGCTTGGTGGGCCAATTGGCACTGGACTGGAAAGTGGTTGGGTTCTTCCCTCTTCTTCCTTCCCTGGGAAGCCCTATGGCCAGGGCAGATTGAGCTGGGTGGAAAGCAAGTGATCCTTACCCAGTTAGCACTGATTCTCAGCCTTGGGGCCCAGAGAGGGACTGAAGGAGGTATCAGGAAGAGGATATACACTAAAGACAAATATGGAACTGGGTCCCAAAGTGAAGAAGCACCAATAGCATAGGCCTGCCCTGGACTTGGGAGGGGATAGAGACGGAGAAATAAGGACACAGGGGAGAAATGGGAGGGCAAGGGGAGTGGGAACATCCTGTTTTCAAGATGAGAAGGAGAAATATGAAAGAAGGACTAGAGAAGGAGCAGGGGGAAAACTGAGCAGAGAATAAGGAAAAAATGGGCCCATCCATCCTGGGGCTCTGGGGCAACTTAGCCTCATGATGGTCCTTTGGCCCTTCCTAAGCCCTTATCTGGCCCCACAGGAATAAAAGGAAGGGCTGGACAGACTTCAAAAAGGATCTCAAATGCCTCAGATGCACAAGGCTGGGGAAGGGAGATGGACAGAGAAGTAAGGGGATTAGGGGGCAGGTCGTAGACTCCACATTTTTGAGTCCCAAGTGTGAGACCAAGAAGGTGGACAGGGAAGAAGACAGGGCATTTCTAAAGCAGAGTTTAGAGTGTTGGTGGAAAGTGCCCCAGCCTGGTGGGTGGGAGGATTGAGGGGATAGAAGAAGTTGATTCTGCCGGCAAGTTTACTGGCTTTACTTTCTTGAATCTGCAACTCAGTTGAAATTTATCCTGCTCCCAGCTGAGTCCAGGCCTCATCAGGACCCTCTGAAGGGCTGTTTTCTAGGCTGGTGGACCTCTCTGGTTCACACATGGTGGACTCTGTGGGCAGGCAGAGGCCAGAGAAGACAGTGGAAGGCACACTGAGTTGTGGACTGACTGGACATCAGACACAGGGACTAGATGGCAGCCACTGAGGAGGGGTCATCAAACCACTGTTGGGGCTTCCACACAAGGGACCAGAAGGGAAGGCTACTAGCTGATTTCCCTTCCCCCTAACATTGTTGAAGCTGGACAGGTTGACAGAAAGGTGGCTGCTAGGAACCAGTCTCAGGGCACTGGTTTCCTGCCCCCAACCCTCACCTGCAGCAGAAGCTGGTTCTCAGAGACTGTAAGGGTACAAGTAACACCCGAAGTAAGATGCCTGGGTCCAGGCACTGGACAAGAAGCACTGAGCTCCTGCCATTCATGGCTCCAGCAAGGAGGAGGATAGGAAGCCACTGGGAGGGCTGCCCAGGTTTCCAACAGCTGATGCCTGCCGATCGTCTCAAAGCTCAAAGACCAGAATGATGGGGGAGGGGAATTGGAGGAGGAGGAAGAGAAAGGTCCTGGAAGCCGGAGGTGGTTGAAGAGGTGCTGTCCAGTTCGGGAGTAGCCAGGTCGGGGGCTGCTTACTGTTTCTCCACTGCTCCCTGCTCAGCTGCGCTCTCCTGGCTGGGACCCTGGCCCTGGTCCTGGTCCTGGTCCTGGCCCTGGCCCTGTCCATGCCACGGGGTCTCCTTGAACACAAACCAACAGTTCCCGGCCCACAGGAAGAAGTTGATAAAGCCGAAGAGCTGCAAAGACATCAAGGGAATTTGTGAGAATAGTCAGGGGGTCATTGTGGGAACAGGGAGGGGGAGTTCCTATTGCAGTGGGGGTGGGGGGTTGTGCAGGGAAGAAGCACAGAGGGCCAAAAAGACTAAATTAAGACAGAGAGCTTGGTATAGAGGCAGGGTTCAGGCCCATCACCTGTTTAGGGAATCCCAGGTGAAAGTGTCTAATTCTGTCCACAGCATGCACCCAAGATGTAGCTTGGTCACTAGCAGAATCTGGCCCTTTAGAGGAGCATTATGCAAAGCGTAGCAAGGAGCCAAGAGTCAGCCCTGTGGTGCCTCCCGCAGCACACGTGAGGCCCTGTTTGGAGCACCTTCTGCCAGGTAGGTGTGGCAGGAGCTGTCCAAGGTGCTCCTTCCCTAT